GTTTGGTCAATCTGATGAGTGACTGCAACCATAGACTGCAGTAAACACATCATCCGAGAAGACATGTCGCTGCTAGAGAGAGGGAGGTTATTTTTATTAAAGATTATGAGGCACATTAAAAAATAATGATGTATGGGTAAATCGTTTACAATAAATACTGCAATATTCCATAAAAAAAGTCCATTTTGATTTCATGGTGACTATATGGTTAGTGAGGGCTACTCACAGATTTAAAAATATATACTATTTTAAATAATCTATAGCTTGAAATGCTTCAGGTTTTATACATTTTAATATAATTTTAAAGGGATACTCCACTTTTTTTTGGAAATAGGCTCATTTTACCACTCCCCAGTTAAACAGTTGGGTTTTACTGTTTTCAAATCCATTCAGCCAATTTTCTGATATTTAGAAGAATATCAGTAAATCAGAAAATCGGCTGAATGGATTCGGTAACGAAAACGGTAAAACCCAACTGTTTAACTCTGGGGGAGTGGTAAAATGAGTCTATTTCCAAAAAAGTGGAGTATCCCTTTAATACGCTTACTTTTGCTCAAGTAGCCTAATGATGAGCAAAATATGAATTTGATTGTTTTTTATTGATTCATTGAACTACACACATATCAATTATGCTATCTGATTTCTCAGCACGACCCATCTTAAACCTAAAGAAATGACATTAACCAAAGAAAAGAACACAACCCAGCATCCCATAATGCCTAGCGCGCGTGGCATGGAGCGCATAGAGGCGTGACTCGTGAGTAACGTCATTTCCGTCAATCTTGAACATGGAGTCGAATGGACTGAGGCTGAATTTCTGGGAGAACGGACCGAAACCCGGTCAGTTTTATTCATTCCCGGGTAACAGCAGTGCGACTCCAGGATGTGGACCCATCAAACACACACTGTAAGTTCATCATGACTGCTCAGTTTGACGCTTATCGGTCGGTCAGTTTGTGGTTTCGCTTTGCCTTTTTCTCTGCTGCATCATCATGGAGGAAAAGTTGCTGTTTAGCCCGGAACATTGTCACAAATATTTTTTTAAACATTTCTTCGATACATTTTTATATAATCTGAATATAATTTATATCCGACTCTTTTTACACGCTTGATCTATTAAAAAAGTAATTAAATGGTTCAGGGTGCAGTTAGCTTGTTAGCAACAATGCTAATGAATAGACAAAAAATCTAAATTGATTTATTTTAATAGACGTATACAATATAGTACAGTATTATATAACGAATGTCTTGGCGAAAGTGTGGACAAACGAAACAAGTGAAAGTAATAAAAAAAAACTAATAAAAACAATTATTTGAAATAAAAATCTACAGTCAGTTAATGCATAGCGATTCACAATTTGCAAGAACACATTAACAGATAACTTTAACTACAATGTGCAGAGGTGAAAGTTGTCGCCGTCCGTTGGATTTAAGGTACTTATAAGTTGGTATGTTTAGGTTAAAATATTAATAATGATGTCGATACATATACTCTTCTGTTTGCAAGTTGGATTTACTATTTAATTTTAAGTTCTTGTGAACTTTCCATTCATCTAAGAATGCCTATTATTATTATAGTTTTTTCCAAAATATGAATCAAAATAAGTGTTTTGAACATTAATAATAATCAGAAATGTTTATTGAGCAGCAAATCAGCATATTAGAATGATTTCTGAAGGATCATGTGACACAGAAGACTGAAGTAATGTTGGTGAAATATAAGAGACTTTCTAAAACATAAAAAATCCCAAACTTTGCACAGTAGTGTCAGTGTATGTATATGTCCGTTCAGTACTCTTGTCTTAATTCATAATGTTTAATGATTTTCAGCAACCCCATGGTAACGGGCACGTCAGTGCTGGGTGTGAAGTTCACTGGTGGTGTGATCATTGCTGCGGACATGCTCGGCTCTTACGGGTCCTTGGCGCGCTTCCGTAACATCTCCCGACTCATGAAGGTCAACAACACCACCATGCTGGGGGCCTCAGGAGACTATGCTGACTACCAGTACCTCAAACATATCATTGAGCAGATGGTGTAAGTATACACACGGTTGTTTATGATTCGGTTGAGTGATTTGTCAGTTTTAGGGCTTATTATCAGTGTACGCGAATAGGCAATAACTTGATAAGTGCTTGTTTTAGGATTGATGAGGAGCTTCTTGGAGATGGACACAGCTACACCCCTAAAGCCATCCACTCCTGGCTCACACGGGTCATGTACAACCGCCGCAGCAAGATGAACCCCTTGTGGAACACAGTGGTCATTGGTGGATTTTGCAATGGAGAGAGGTGGGGCAGTTTCCAGACCACTGAAAGTCAGCATGTAACAAGAGTCACGACTCATTTAAAGGGATAGTGCACCTAAAAACATAATGTACTCACCCTCAAGTTGTTCCAAACCTTGTATGAGTTTCTTTCTTCTTTTGGAGGATGTCAGTAACCAGATAGTTGATGGCACCCATTGAGCCCATGCTACCGTCCACTGTCTGGTTACTTCAGTGATATACTTCAAAATATCTTTGAGGGGGAGTAAATAATGATAAAATGTACATTTTGGGGTGAATTATCTCGTAAAGAATAATACATAAAAGAGTATGGAAGGATTTTTATCATTTGGGAATTTGTTTCTAAAGGGTAAAAAAAAGAAGGGATTAGTAATGTGAAGTTTTCCCTGTACATTTGATAAAAGGTTTATTATTTTATTTTTTCAGACTATTCTTGCTCTATAATATATATTGCTTTACATGAGTATATTGTATGTATTCAGGGAAAGTAGGGTGTACTATGAATCAAACTTTTAATATATCGCTGGGCGATAATATAGTGTACGTTTTTCGACAATATAACAATCAATCGGTAGAGATTTCCTATATAATCCACATCAAATAATGTGAGTGTGCTCTGTGTCTGGTTGAGGTTGAATATACCTATAATAGTTGTGTAATTTGTTATTGATTATTAATTTGAGTTATTAATTCATTATCTGGTGAAATTGAGAATTATGAAACCTGTGAGTTGTTTCAATGTATAAAAATTGGTGTAGTGACAAGTATAGTACTATAAATGGTAACTAGGTTTGTAGTTTTATAGTAAAGCGAAACATTTTCATAATGCCTTTAATTGAGTTGTCTGTTATTTAACTTTCACTGAACGCAATTTTTATGTGCTTCTCTTAAGCTTTCTCGGTTATGTGGACAAGTTAGGAGTTGCATATGAAGCCCCGACAGTAGCAACAGGATTTGGTGCTTATTTGGCCCAGGTACGTTTTTTTTTATATTTTTTCCCATCAGATTATCTTTCTTGTTAAATTAAGCTAAAACCCTTATGTGAACTTGTGTTTTTGCAGCCCTTGATGAGGGAGGCGCTGGAGAACAAGGTAGAACTCACAAAGGATGAGGCACGAGCACTAATAGAGCGATGCCTTAAAGTGCTGTACTATCGTGACGCCCGCTCGTACAACAGGGTGAGACGTGCTTTCTTCTTTCAGCTTATTGTCCTTCTTTATCTCAGGTACATTTCATTGTATGTGACTCTAAAAACAGATAATAATAACACTCATTCTTTGGATTTGCTCTAGCATGAGATTGCCATTGTAACAGCTGATGGCGTGGAGATTATTGGACCACTGTCTTCTGAAACAAACTGGGACATCGCTCATCTGGTCAGGTAGGCTGAAATCACTCATGATGAGTCTAAATATTTGCTTACCATTCTGGGTTTAATAAACATTTTCATATGACAGTAAAACTCAAGATATTAAATATCATAACTTTATTTCCACAAACATTCAAATTAGTATAATATACTTTTATTCTAAGGGGTCAGTAAGATTTCTCAAAAATGTCTTGCCAATTTTGATTAAAATACAGTAATATTGTGAAATATTATTTAAACACTTCTCAGCATCATTACTCCAGTGTTCAGTGTTACATTATCATTCAGAAATCATTGTAATATTCTGCTCAAATTGCATTTCTTTTTATCAATGTTGCCATCAGTTGTGCTGCTTTATATTTTTTTGCAAACCAACTGTGATATATTGATGAATAAAAGCAAAAAATCTTACTGACCTCAACTTTGAATGGTAATGTATTTAGTGCTATGCAAGATTGTTAAATATGTATGATGTATATATCTTAATTTACATCATGATTGCTAAATCATTTTATTTGCTTGCTAACTGCTGTTTGTTTTTATTGCAGTGGTTTTGAATAAATCCTGTTCTGCCGAGCCCGTTTTTGTCGCATCATCTTTGGACATGCTCTTAGCATCACCAGATCACTATTATATTGTCAAGATTAGTTGGATGTGTTTCTCGCTCTTTTGTTATTCATAAATAAACTTAATAAACGTTGTCTACTGTGTCTTTGTTTTTACTACTTTGTGTAGAATTAAAGGTGCTCTAAGCGATGTCACACATTTTTTTGTCACATACAGCAAACATCTCCTCACTATCCGCTAGCTGCCTGTTTCCTAAACACACTGTAAAAAAAACATGGCCTATGCAGACAACACAGGCTTCACAAATGGCAACAAAAACAAACTGCGGTGACCCGCTCCACGAAACATAACAAACTGTTCCAGCCAATAACTGACAAGAAGGCCCTAGGGGTGGGGTTTGGGGGGTCAATGCAGATGATGGGAGGAGGGGGTCTATCTAGCCTCCGTTTTGTTTGAAAACACTTTAAACGTCAAAAAGAAGTCACGTCACCCTACATGCTTAGAGAGCACCTTTAAGCAGTTACTTGCTCTTCTAGGTCAGTGCTACAAATTTTTTATATAGATGTGAAATGCAAATAAATTTATGCCTTGCAAACCTAAACATTTTGAGTTAGTCATCTATTTGTTACATTCTAGCAGTTTAATTTCCAACTTTTCAAAAAGATACATGAAGGAAATATGAAATAATTTGCAGCATTTTAAAATGCTGAATAATTTTATGAAAAAAATGTCAGAACAAGCAAAAATGGCCAGAAATACTAGCCTAACAGACAGCAGTGGAATAAAACATTCACATTTTATTACATTTTCAAAAATACCACCATAAGCACATTACATAATTTTAGTCATGTGACCATATACACAAATAGGATCATAATATACAGCCACCTGTGATTAAGAGGTGCCAGTGAAAAAGGTTTTAGGCAGTTGCATCAGTATAGCAAACAATGTGTCGTGTGTATAAACTGACTGTATTGGTCAGATTTTTGAGAAAACTAAAATACCTTCTTAAAAGACAACCCTTGCTTCTTAAAGAAAAAAAACACTGCTTATAAATGACATGCCTATAAAAGCGTTTATTCATTAACATGAATCCAGTATGTTACAGTATAATCCTAAATACAGTAGGTAATGATTTCAAATCATTTCTATTTACATTTATGCACATTATAAAAGAAATCAAACCTGATGTGAAGGAAAATAGTGATAAACTAAAACAAGGTGTAACAAGTTGCACATTCATAGCTCAAAGATCAACAACAACAGAGGACTTCAAACTAGTGATCTTTATCACACAAAAAAATTTACATATCGTTAGCCTCATAGCATAATTGCCTACATCATATTTCAATGTCTTTGGAAAACAAGAAAAAAACGCATATATGCAATGAGGCTAATGATATGCAACCATACAGACTTAATCAAGCAATGACCTACTACATTTACTTTCTCAAAGACCAGTTCATTTTATTCTCCAAAAATAAAATCGGCAGAAGACGCACAAAATGCTTGCAAATTTCAAGAATATGATTCAATTTATATGATAACTTGATGTTCTTGTATTTCTGAATCCTCAAAACCATGAAACGACTCCAAATCGCTGTCTTTCTCAAACATCTTTTTCAAAAAAGTCAGGCTGGACTGCGGAGAGGATTCTACAGAAACAACACCGGAGATCTCAGCTTTCTGCTCAACTTTATGTCCTTGCATTTTATTGACCAGGAGAGCTTCAGTGAGACTCCGCACGAGCTCTGACGGTTCCTCGGACGTCACCTCTGGGTTTGAGCTCAAAATCCGATCGAAAGAGCGGAAAAGAAGCTTGGGCTCTGCTTTGAGGACATCCAGTATCTCGACCAGCCAGCGAGAGAGAAGATGCGCAAGGTCTGCTGGTTTGGCTCCAACCAGTTCCTGTGGCACCGTAGTTACATGCTCGCTCCAACGAGCCTGCAGAAACTCGCGTAACACAGGCCCCATGCAGGCTTCCAGGGGCTGCAGACGACGAGAGCAACTGCGAGGGATCGGAGCTGGAAGAGTGTTCGTGCTGTTGAGCGCTGCCAGGAATTCATCAGACATGTGGCCTTTGTACGTGTCCATTATCAGCAACCCTTTGCCTCCAGATTTAGGTTTGACATGCCGACACCACACCTTGTCCAACCAAAGCTGTAGTCTTTCTTCATCCGTGAACCCTTCAGGTCTAGCCTCCAGGATGATGAAGTCTGGCAAGGAATGTGCATCTGGCTTGAGAGGTTCGCCTCTGAGGAAAAGCATGGTGGATAACGTGGTCCCATCCGCCAGGGCTGTGAACACAACCTCTATGAGTGGATTTGTGGTGCCCATCAACTTAAAAGCAGACAACATGGACGACGAATCGGCAGAGGCTTCATCCAGTTGCTCCATATCTATAAATATGGAAAGCTCATCCATGGCGCCCATAGAAGATAGTCTAAATGTTTGCGAAATGACTTGCTTTTTCAGAAAGCTGCTGAAGGAACGCTCCAGCTCCTGGGATTTATCCGGTAGCAACTTGCTGGATGTGGCGAATGCCTGCAAGCCCAGATCGTGGCGTAGCAAGAATTTAACCGCCGAGTCGTAAGAGATGTCCTGCGCACCATGACTGCTCATGAAGTCGAACAGATTAGCTTCATCGATAGGTAGCTGTTGCTCACGTTGGCACAGCACCCATTCGACTAAGCTATCGGATGCCTGTGGCGTCAACCCTTCTCTGGTGCTTCTCGAGGGCACAATCTGACGCTGACGCTTCAAGAGCAATGACTGGACATCTTCCGGTGGAGTGTCGAAGTGATTGGCGGCCTGTGGGACTCCACAGCAGAGGGCGTACAGTACAACTTTCATCTGAGCTACGGTAAGCGTGTTCTCCACTGTACGTCCTCTGTCGACTTTAGAAAGACCTCCATGTGGAGTTTGCTTCGGAGCATCTGGTTTGATTGCACATTTTTTGTCTGGAACGGCACTTTGTTTGATAGGTTGAACCTGAATTGGAAAGGACAGTGTGTGAGCGGGACTAGCAGGCAGTGTTATCGTGTAGGTGGGTCGAGGAAGGGGTTTAGAGAACGGAGGAAATGAACTCTTGTCCACTTGCTTCACTTGCAAAGGCAAGAAAAACGCGTTGTTGAGTATCTGACCTCCTCGGAGTAGGTCCGTTGGGATGAAGACAAATCTACAATGACAGTAATTTGTAAGTTACCACTTCTGCTAAACGGGAGGTTAAATCTCTAGCATTTTCAATTTCTTATATCAGCTCTACACAAATTCCGTTCCTACAGCCTTTTTCTTGAGTTAAACTAAACTATCCCATTACGCATTCTTGTTCTGTCATCATTTATTCCCACTCTTGTTGTTCCAAACCTGTACGACTTTCTGTAAATGAAGATATTCTGGTAACACTTTACAATAAGGTTCATTAGTTAACATTAGTTAATCTATTAACTGACATGAACTAACAAAGAGCAAAACATTTGTTACAGTATTTATTAATCTTTGTTAATGTTAGCAAATAAAAAATACATTGTTTGATCATGTTAGTTCACAGTGCATTAACTAATGTTAACAAATACAGCCCTTGATTTTAATAACATTAGTAAATGTTGAAATTAATATAAACTGAGATGAATAAATGCTGAAGTAGTATTGTTCATTCTTAGTTCATATTAACTAATGTAGTTAACCAATTAACCCTATTGTGTTACCGATATTCGGAATGTTTTTGTCCATGCAATGACAGTCAATGGGGTCCAAAAACACTGGACCCCACTGACATTCATTATATGGGGAAAAAACCTGAAGACATTTTAAAATATCTTCCACAGGTTTAAATCAACATGAGGGAGTAAATTATAGTATTTAGATTTTTGAGTTAAAAATAAGCGAAAATCAACTTACCTTTTATAGCCACGTGAAAATCCTTCTGAAACATGAATAGTATTAATAATATGATAGGATCATTAAGTGCTTGACTTTTCATCATCAAAAATATTTTTAGACATAAACAAACAACTTACCCCGCAAGGTGCATCGGCTTGCTTGATGTTTAGGATTGTCAGCAAGATGTTTGGCCATCGAATCTCCAACCCGAGTTTTGTATCTACATGTGACACAGTTTAGCCTCCCCTTCCTGCAAAGATTTTTCATTACCATGATTGACAATTAAAGTAAAATTACATCAAAGCAAGAGGGGAGGGAAAAAAAAAACAACAACAACAACTCAGGTCTTACTTCGGACAGGGTTTGTAAAGGGTAATGTATTTTCTGGTGCTTTTCCGAGGAACATGTACACTGCAAATAAAGATAAGGGAGAAATGAGAAAACACTCAACACCTCACAAACTGTGAAATTTAAAGTTCTTCACCTGATCATGATATATATAAATTTTTGGTCACACTTTAGATTAGTGACCAATTCTAATTAACTAAATATTAACTATGACTTCAGCCTCAAACTGATAATTACTGCTTATTAATAGTTAGAAGGCAGTTTAGGTATTGGGAAGGATTAAGGGATGTAGAATATGATCATGCAGAATAAGGCATTAATATGTGCTTTAGAAGTACTAATAAATAGCCAATATCCTAGTGTTATGCATGCTAATAAGCAACAAGTAAGCGAGGCCCTAAACTAGTGTTGCCCAATTTCTTTTTTTTTTTTCCTATACAGATAGGCAACGGTAACAACTTTTTTTTATTTTTTGTTTGTTTAATTTTATTTTTGATCAATTTTACATAATAATTTTATATTTTTATACATTTTGAAGTATAAAAATAAGAGAAATGACCATGCACAATTAAATAATAATATAATAATATCAACTAATAGCAAAAAAAAAAAATCTTATATAAATAATCAATCCATCAGCAGATAATCAATATATGACATATTATCCATTCCTTCCTTTCAATTACACTATCACACAAACTGTAAAAATGTAAGGATGTTCACCTGATCATGTGATTGGCATAAGCTCTGGAACAGCAAGTACAGTATCGGCAGAGGGAACAGCTCACATACGTGGGGAAATGGTTGGAAAAGTATGGAATATCATATGTGCATTCCATGCAGAAGTGTTTTTCTGTTGGCTTGCTGGAAGAACAATATGATGGTTAGAAGATAGTTTCAAAAAAAAAATTGAAATAAATGAAAAAACAGCAAAGAGAAAATGTCTACATACACACACATAATATTACGAAAGCCCTGAAACGCAACGTAAAAATAATAAAAAAAAAATAAAATAAAAAAAATATATCTAGCATTTCGACTTTAATCTCGAAACATTTCGACTTTAATCTCGAAACGCTTGGGGTTTTTTTATTTTACAGATTTTTTTTTTTACGTTGTGGTTCAGGCTTCCGTATGATATAAATCATACTCACCATTGACTCTCAAACTTGACCATTAGCTCCATCATGCTTTTCCACCGGCTTTTTCTTGACAGGAATGACTTTATTGGTGACATTTTGAGATGCTGCAGTTGTTGATGTGGCGTTACTGTCAGCATAAGCTCGGATGATTACCTGAAACAGAGGGGTAAATGGTAAGGCCATCAAATAAGCAATAAACAAGCCATTTATATGACTGGGAGTCTTTTACCTTAGTACCAGGCTTGAGGCCCTCCAATTGCTTGGGTTTGACACATGTCCTGTGAAACCTGTGTCTGTGTTTCCACTTGTCCTTGTCATGAATGAATTGAAGTCGGCATCGGCCACAATGATGTGCTGTTCTTTTCTGGACGAATAAACACCAACTTTAATGGGACTGATAAAGAAGTCTTCTGACACATAAAAAAGACCTTTCATACCGTTTTATGTCATTTAAAGAAAACACTTGCAGACATCAATATTGATTATGTACAGGATGGGAAAGGGTTATTCATTATGAGATTGTGATTATAAATAATCAGATAAAGGCAATCTAAATGTAAAAATGGAGGACATGAACATGCACAGTTAAATATTAACCAATAATTTTTAATTTTGATGAATAATCGATTAAATGACCAAACAATTTATCAGCTTGTCCATCCCTTAGGGCAAATCACGGTAAAGCATTAGTTTATGAGCTGGAAAGGTAAAAGTTGAAACAAAGTCTTTCCATATTAATAAGAGTTGAGATATTAAATTGTTATTATTGATTATTAAAAACCCTCTGAGCGGTGACTGTTTAGTGCTAACGATATACTTTACCTGGTGTCTAGCAAAGTGCAACTGGAAGCCGATATAAGACCGAAATACTTTTAAGCAGAAGGGACACATTAAGATGCAGGTGTCCTTGTGCTGCTCTGTGAAGTGGCTTATAACATCTTGGTAGAAAGAGGATCTGAACTCGCACACCTGAGGAGCAAAAAGTACACAAGTGTCATTGATTTACACAAATGTTTTCAAGACAAAACTTGAATGACATGAAACACTTATACACAAAAGTTACCTGACACATGTAGGGCATCTCACCAGGCTTGTGCGCCTGCTTCATGTGGTTCAGAAAGAGGGGTTCATTCTCAAAGGACCACTCACAGATCTTGCACACTTCTGTAAAGCAGAATGAAATGTTTTAAAGGAGTAGTTCACCTTTAAAATAAACTTTCTTCTTCAGTCGAAATGAAATTTTTTGATGAAAACATTCCAGGATTTTCTCCATATAATGGACTTCATTGGAAACGAAATGGTTCAAGGTCCAAAAGACAGTCTCAGTGCAAACTGCAAACTGTTCAAAGGGCTTTAAGCGATTCCAGACGATGAATAAGGGTCTTATCAAGCGAAACGATCGCTCATTTAAAAAATAAATAACAAAGTTTAAGTTTTATAAGCTCAAATGCTCGCCTTGCTCTGTTTTGTGATGCGTGTTCGTGACTCTCCTGTTCAAACTCGTTCATGAAAATGAACAAATCTTTTTTCGAGTCATTTGGTTCATTCAACAAACGAAATGAACGAATTGACTCGGAAAAAGATTTGTTAATATCATTCAAAGCCCTTTGAACAGTTTGCACTGAAAGTTCTCAGTAAAGTCCATTATATGGAGAGAAATGCTGGAATGTTTTCATCAAAAACCTTAATTTCTTTTCGACTGAAGAAAGAAAGACATGGACATCTTGGATGACATGGGGGTGAGTAAATTATCAGCAAAAGTTTTTTTTTAAAAGTGAACTACTCCTTTAAATAGGATGCCTATGATGCTTTTTATTACATTTCAGCCTTTTTTGTTGTATAATGTTGCTGTTTGGGCATGCAAAGTCCCTCCAGCAAGAGTTATTCTATATATCAGTGTCACTGTTTCAGAACTCCCTGAAACACCTCCATTGTAAAACAACAAAAACCTCACAATATTCCTCATTTAAATCATTCCCGCCCAAGCCATGCGCAAAATAAAGGGGCGGGGTCTAGTTGAGTTAGTAAGTAGCGAGTTGAAACTTGTGGTTAACATAAGGGTGTGACATTTTAGAATCACGCTCAAAACGGTTGACCAATCACAACACACTGGCCCAGCTGACCAATCAGAGCCCATTGTGCTTTTCGCAAAGAGGTGCTTCATAGAGAGAGGAACTAAACAGAGTGTTACTGACAGACATGTATGTGAAAAATACGTCTTTGTTTTTTTTACATTCAAGCATGAAAATCAATTCCAATAGAGCCCCAAAACAAAATCAATACTTTATAAAAGGGCTTAATAGGCCCTCTTTAAGCTGGAGAAAAATACCACCGGTCAAATATCATCAACTCATGCATTAACAATGGATTAAAACCATTTCATATGTTTGTCAAGAACTAGGTTGATGATATATCATTCTAGAAGTATAGACTCACTTGAGGACTCTGCTTGGTTATGAACTGCCTCAACATGGCACTGCAGATTGAAGGGTGTTGAAAAGGTTCTGTAGCAATGCTGGCACATAGAATGACAGTCTACTTCCCCTGTTTGGTGATCCAACTCCATGTGTTGTTTCATGTGGTTCATCATCCTTTTAAATGAGGGTTGATGAATGAACAAATCGATCACAACAACAACAACTCTCAAAAACCAATCTGAAAACTAACTTACTTGATGTTGCCCTTCACCTTCTTCTCACAAACTTGGCATTTCATTGAGATGGTTACTGAATAGGTTTTTAATGATGCATGCTGGCCAGGGTGCTGCCCATAGAAGAAGTCTTCAACTAGCATGATCATTCTGCCCTGGTCGTCAATATCTCCAGAGCGAGGACTAGGCACTCCCTCAGGTATCTCAGAAGTCGTGACGTGTTTGAGAGACGTTTCTGAGGACGAGGAGAAGGAAACGGTCTCAGATGTGGCGGGTTTTGACTGGGTTGTGTCACTCGGCCGCTTGATCCTTTTTCTACTTTGGGCCTTCAGGTCCTTGATGCTCTTGATAAGATCTTGATTGCATTGCTGAAAATGGGCAAGAAGATGAATGGGCATGAGTAAGACTTTAGTGAAAGATTTAAAGATACCAAAGCAAAAGGTTCTTAACCAAGAAAGGTTCAGTACATTATTATTTGTAGGCATTTAATCTAAAACGTGTATGATTAAAACTTACACAGAAGTATCCACGGAGGGACTGACTCTTTTGGTAAACGGCTTTACAGAGAACACAGAAATTCGAAGAACTGGAGGCCCTTTTCAATGCTGTAGAACAAAGATACTCCATTCAATCCCTTCTCAAAGACCTCATAAAGGGATAGTTCACCCAAAAATTAAAATTCTGTCATCAATTACTTTTACAATTACTCAATTACCTTCATGTAGCTCCAAATCCACAACTTTGAAACACAAATGAAAATGCTTTTAATGAGATATTTAAATGAGATATTTCGGTCCCTCCATTGAAAGTCCATTCCACCAAAACCTTGATGCTTCAAAAACTTCAAAGGAATCAATGAAGTTTTTCTTGCAGGTCAAGTAAGTACAGCCAAAAGCTTGAGTTCCTTTATGAACTATTTGAAGTTTTGGGTGAATGAGAATTTTCATTAAAAATGTTAGTTTGTATAATGAAGAATCGTATGGGTTTGGAACAAATAAGTGATGACCGGATTTTCATTTTTGAGTGAACGATTACTTTAAACACATGATTCTGGATTCTGGAGCTGCACGATTCTGGATTAATTGAAAATCACGATTTTTCCACAATTCTGAATAGACAACTAAAAGTAGCATGTCATTTACTAGAGGTTCTGACAAAATATGAATTGAAGATATTAAATGAAGAATATCAAAATATCAAATGAAGATATTTTTGATTAAATTTGAGAAGTGGATCACTGCTACACAAGCTGAACGACAGTTCAAGAGATTTCTACGACGCATGCGAGATCGCAATTCTCGCGCATGCGTCGTAGAAGTCTCTTGAACTCTCGTCTCAGGCCTACAAGGAAGAAATGGAGTAGTTGAATAAAGTCGTTATTTTGTTTGTTTTTTTTCGCACAAAAAGTATTCGCGTCGCTTGATAAACTTATACTTGAGCCACTGTAGTCACATGCAATATTTAAACATTTTCTTCATTGACTTTCTGGGCTTTCGATCTCTTAGGCAGCCTATGTAGCAGTGATCCACTTCTCAAATTTAATCAAAAATATCTTCATTTGTGTTCCGAAGACGAACGAAGGTATTTGCGGGGTTGGTACAGCATGCGGGTGAGAAATTAATGACTTAATTTTCATTTTTGGGTGAACTATCCCTTTAAGGAATAAGAGTGTTTAAATGAAGACTGCGATCTTTTAATGATTAATCATACAGCTCTACAACACATAAATGATGTTTAAGCAATAAGCTGATATCCACAACATCTAAAACAAAAACACTTCAATATAGCAATTAAAAACTGAAAAATAGGAGGGTAAAAACAAATCCTGGTCCTGACCGTTAGTGGTTGTGGCAGAAGGAGGGCCAAAGATCTGTGCTTGAGGTCTCACAGTTTGAGATAGCCCACCAGACAGGAACGGGGCTGGAGCTCGGTTTGTTATATTGTTTTGGAAGGAGAAGGTTTTGGTGGGCTGCACTAGTGAATTCACTACTTGACCAGAACCTGCAGGTGCTCCAGGAAGCTTCGTAAACTTTATAACTTTAATTGTTGCACCTATCAAGGTAAACGAAATGTAAATAAAACAGAGATAAGAACGGATGTACAATAGAAAAAGTAAAAGCTGGATAAATTGTCACCTGGAGCTATGGCTGGTTGGATGTTGGAGGGGGTCACATTAAGAGTGGACACTCCTGGGGCCGATGAGGTGATACTTTGTAAGTTTGAGGGGTTATTGATGGTCAAGGTGACTGGGATCTGCAATGTAGGTAGTTTCCCAGATGTCGTTTGCTGTCCTACACTCCCTGGGGTGACCATCCGCGGAGAAATGAACTGGGGTGTCTGACCTGAAGAGGTTAGAGATAGTATTTAAGCTAAATGTGTAATGCTACAATAAAAATGTAAACATTTGTTTTTGAGCAGCATAGGTGTAAATAAAGAAAACTAAATGCATGGCAACAAATATCTGGAAACTCTTGAGCTGGTATTTATGTCTGATGTGCAAACATATGTCATATGTATTTGCATGTGCATATAAACGTTAAAGTCATGAAGAAACAAAAGTAGCAACCGATCTTTTCTGTTGTATTGTGACGTCCATTAGAGTGTAAAAACAGACAAAAATCAAAGGTGGGGACTTGTTTCTATCCATTGGTAGTAGATTGGATTGAGATATTGGCACTGCATTCATAAATAAATGAGAGCTTGCAGTCGATTATAATAAAGGGGCGGCGTTTAAGCATACTAAATGATTGTCTGCAGTCCAACATACGTCACCAGAGCGAAGTCTGCAATGACGCGCACTTGTTAGCCAGTGTGTTCTCCGAATGCTAAAGAGGAGCCTCGTCTAGCCTCTGAAGGAAATGACTTTGAAGGACCCGTCCTGCCAAGGAAGTATCCTTGACATTGAGAAACACGTTTTGTGTATACATAAATCTCTGACCCATCGTCGTCTTCATCGTCTAATTTTCGCTCTACAAGTCATCTGGTATCATTGAACCGATTGGCTATGAGCTGCGTACAGGCGCATTCGATAGACATTCGTAGCCCCCAATAATAAGGCTCTGGGCATTCGTAAAACACGCCTCAAATACGAGAAAATGAACATGTGGTTTCCAGACCACGTCTCATTGTCAATGAAACGTCGTCTGGCGTTAGCCAGGCTATTATTTAACATGCATTTAGAAAATACATAGGGTGAATTTTCTTTCACACCAGCTTAGGATTCAGGAATGCATCCTGCAAAGTATGTCTGGGAAGGAGTAACCGTGATATTAAATCACTGCTTTGAGTAAAGACTTACCTGCGGTCAGAAAACTAATAGGCTGTCCATTCAAGATGTAACCAAGTGATGTTCCCAAATTTCCCAATCCCACTGAGCCTGCCAGAGGCTGACCTGGATTGGGCTACAACAGATGATCATAACTTAAATACAACATCTTACTCATGTAAACAGAAGGCTAGTAAAAGAGCAAAGTGAAACCTGTGCACTGATGTATATAGTCTGTGTGCCTCCTGCAGCTCCACCTGTCTGGACAGCATTCGGCAGTAACGTAACCGCAGGAGCTAAAGGCAAACCAAAACACACACTGAAGTCCCACATCTATTCTTTTAACAGTGTTTTTGCAGTGTGGCCACTAATGACCACTAGGTACATGGAAAGGAAGCCTGAAAAGTCAATTCTGCATACTAGCAGTGGATTATTGTTTAGATCTTTATGCTTCTTGCCTTCTTACCAGAAGCCAAAGACACAGCTTGATTTATGAGGTCAGTAGTACCTGATGTCGGTTTAGAGGTGCCATCAGATTGTGCTGGTGCACTATTGCCACTTGGGACTACAGTAACTAAATTAAAGAATAGAAAAAAAAAACAACTTATTTGTATTCACACTCATGTTCCTAATATTTGATTAAATGCTCTTCACAAAAGATCTTCTAACAAGACATAATAAAACATTATTTACCTTTGTTATATTGGTGGTCTCTGTTTTTTGTAATACTCTGGCATGGCTCTAGATCATCTTCATCACATTGCATGTAAAGGTCAGAATCTGCCATGTTTCTGTAAACAAAAAGTGTTTCTTATACAGTGTCTCAACAAGAAAAAAATATTAGTTAGTTACTAAATACTAAATATTCATTGCTGCAATTTTTATCCTTATGGAACAGCCATTTTGTAATCTACAGTAAAGGCACACATTTCTAATATAATGTATTATTTACCATTTCATAATTTTTAATCAAAATGTTGTGCAAAAACACCATTTTTAGCATAAGTATGTAAAATTAAAATATAAATAAAAAAAGTGCAAAAAAAGCAAGTAATCTTGAGGCACATATTTCTGACCTAATATTTTTTAGCAGGTGCAAGTTAATATATATCTGTTAATATTTAGTAATTACTCCTGTCAACAAGACTATGTTGGCTATGGACAGTGGGTAGCTGAAAATACACTATATCTATTTGACATTAAATTATTCTTATTAAACAGAAAAACTAACAGTTTGTGACCATGTTGACAAAACCACAGACCATGTGACCATGTTGTTATATGCAATACAGCTTCTAATCAACAATAACATTTAAAGTGTGTTACAAGATCTTATTTTTACAATGTGTACATATGCCTGTAAATATGAATTATTTTAGTTGTCAGTGTGTTTCTTCGTTTGCTCTCGCTATTTTTTCAAAGTCAAAGTTAAAATAATTCATATACAGTGAGTGTTGAGTGTAATGCATTACTAAGTAATAATTACGGTAATTTGCTTACTTTTCTCTTTGGAAAAGTAAAATAAGGGATTACTCTGAGCTTCTCTGTAAATACAATTACTTCTGATGTACTTGCACTAGATACGGTGTATAACAATTCTATATAAGAACATCAACATTTAATGTTAAAATATAACTTTTAAACGTAACCTTCCTTTAAATACTTGAATCAGTTTAAGAATAGTGTATGTCAATTTTAGATTATATATTTGAAAGAATTAAAATAACAAGTTCATATCTGTTCAACTAACTGGTCGAAGTTAATATGGGATTTAGAAAGTAATTATTAATAATTAATGCAATATTTCTTTAGAGAGAATCATTAATAACGGTACACTGTCAAAGATGTAATTAGTAACTAGTAGTTACTTTTTCAGAGTAACGTAACGTTACCCAACACTGTTCATTTACTTGTTTACTTTCTAACACTGTTCATTTGTTTGTTTACTTTCTATCATACTTTGGCAAAAAAGGGACAAGCATTGGTCGCTAAACCGACTTATTGCCTCATTATCTACAAGCTGTCATAACAATAAACGTGAGCCCCTTTAACAGAGCCATAACAGAGGCTAACATTAGCCTGCTAACTGTTACTGCACGCATGTTTATCCTGCCAATGCAGCTGTGCATTCAAAGCTACAGTGGCTAGCCTTTACCTGACTGCTTAACTTTTAACAACTAAGTTACTTCACAATCACCGACGCGTTGTTTCTAGAAAGAAGAAAGGGAAGTCTTACCTCATGCACAGATTTGCATATGTGGGACAAAAAATTATAATGCGTTATTTCCCTCCATTCTTCGCGGGGTTTGCCATGATGGAAAAACAATGATCCCTGTTCTGCAGGCGTTTTCTCCTCTTTGCTCGCGCTGTGGTAGGCGAAACATTTAAAAACGTCACTTCCACGCGTAATTCCCTGCACTCTGATTGGTTGCGATATTTTGTGATAAACGCGGGATAACCGTGATTATTCACTATATGATAAACATAAGCAAATAAAATACATAATGCTAGTATACGCGAACTGTAAATGTTATATTACACGCATATTACGATATGGAAGTGTAATGTAATTTCCTGGAGTATCATTTCCGATAATAAACGATTTAAAGCCAATTACCCACTATTATTTAGATTGTGGAGTATGTTTTGACATTTTGAGACCATTGTCATCCTACCTGCTGCACAGATTTGCTTATCGGCGAGATTTGTCTAAACAGTTTGCACTTGCATATAGCCCGCTAAATAGTGCGATACATCGCCGCCTCAGAGTTAACGACACAAAGACAAACTCGTTCACTTGGCGAAAAACATTAGCCTTTTAGTCAATGAATGTTAGTCTCGAGCCATAAGAGTTTCCCGCCTAATCGTTTTCTTTTGGCACTACATTTCACTCTGCTTTCAATAATTCCAAAATGGCGGCTGGTGTTTAGAAGACAGGAATGATTGACGTCGTAACATATGAAATGTATCCAAATGTGCCTCGAATGAAACATCAACTCTTTAATATTAAAACGAGCATGTTTCTCCAACAACTACAACAGTTATGTGATTTTTATAAAACAAGAGTTGGTGTTTTGTAGTGAACCCATGTTTTTATAGCATCATGGAAGTTTGTTTCCGCCACAGAATAAAAAATAAAAAAAGGTTTTGCAACATTTATCTTACAAATCTGATGTTTCTTCTCGTAATTGCGAGCTTTAATATATCACAATTATGACTTTATAACTCGGAAATGCGAGTTTATATCTCACAATTCTTCTGACTTTATTTCTCGAAGTGCGAGTTAAGTCGCAATTTTATGACTATGTCTCGCAATTATGACTATACCTAGCAATTGCGAGGTTAAATCTCACAATTCTGACTTTAACTCGCAATTGCCACAACCAAGAAAATAATTAGCATTTTAGACATGGCTTCCCCTTGATTTTCTACCGGGAAAATCTCTTTTTCTGATTTTCTACCTTTTATGAATGGCAGGTTTATGTTAAATAAGAAATACATTCTAAATAAGATCTTTTTTTGGAACATACAGTAGCTATCCACAATCTTACCTTAGAATAAACATTTTAATCGTGTTTATTAAACATATGTTAGGTTATGCCATTTTTTTAGCACTATGTTTTAAAACAAGGCAGTTTCAAAATTCACATAAGATCATCAAACTGTCAACTGTGTTGTAGGTAAACAAAACATAGGTTAATTTTAACTGACCATATTTATTTAAAATCATTCTAAAAAAACCCACTGCTGCACACCCTTGCTTGCACCTAGTAATCAACAGAGCGGCTCTGGTAGTCAAGTAAAAAGGCTAAACTGAAACACTTTTTTTAGCCTGGGAAGTAGGACTCTATAAAAAAAAAAAAAGTAGGTCATGTGCATGTACAGCATGGACGGGCAACTTCTGTCCTTAAGGGCCAACTGTCCTGCAGAGTTTAGCTCCATCTAATTAAACACACATGAACAAGCTATTCAATGTTATCAAGATTAGCCTACTAGAAAAGAGTTTTTGTCATGTTTGGAGCTAAACTCTGCAGGACAGTGGCCCTCCAGGACCGAAGTTGCCCATCCCTGATACAGTACAGTGTGTTTTGTTTATGTGGCTGTACTGGGTTATTAATAAGAAAGCACAATTTAAAACACATGACATTTAGACTAACTAATTTGATCAACACGGTCCCTGCCAAATCCAATACACACCCTCTTGTCAGACTTGCCAAACATTTCCATACTTCTGATCAGGTAATACAATAAAACCACCACAATAGTGCCAAAAAACTGAATAAGGCCATAAGAGCGAGGGGAGGGCCACATGACCCATACAACATACCCCCAAAAAAGCTTTTATAGCTTAAAATATCCTAAATATGTTTTTAAATGCCTCAGACTAAAATTAAGTCACATCTAAGACATAAAGACATCAACTTCTAATGAAAAGCCTTGCGTTACTAGTCTGCTATAGAAGTGGAAATTGTTTTGATCAATGTTTTTGTTATTCGCATTTCTGTCTGACCGTAAGCCATGGAATCTAACATGATCTTGACTTAATCTTCTTATGCCTCAACCCAGCCCTGCACGCGGGGTGATTAGATGTGTTAGCTGGCACTGAGCTTGATGGTGGCCGTGCACTAGAAGCCACAGCTTTTTATAAACAAAGAAAAGAGTTTAGTACTATATGACAGAAAATAAAATGAAAGCAGAGCTGAAAGCGCATCACAGTGGATGACATGTATCTCTCTGCAGCCACACAAATGTGGGAGGAACTGAAGGCAAATCGTCTCGCCCAATTCGGCACAGTAACTGCGGTCACAGCTATTAGTAAGTTACATAATGTCATTTCCTCTCATTCTAGCTTTTGGTGGGCTGAAACAACATTTCAGTCAGATATGAACTAAGACAATTTCTTCCATATGTATTGTAGAATATTATAAACAGCACAGTTTCAGCGCTGTTCAGAAGGTACAATGTTGTGGCTCAAGAGGTACTTGATGTAGCTTAAGGGATAACAGAATAGCAGATTAGAATTCAGAGGCTGTTTTTTTTACTACAAAAAACATGATTGTAATACCAAATCTATTATATATATGTATATATATACACACACACACACAATTGGAAATAAAATAAGCTGAAGTACTAAAATTACTTAATAAATAAATAAATCAAGGCTAAATAGTTATATTTAGAAAAGCACATCATTAAATGACTAAAACTAAAATAAAAACTGAAAATATAAAAATAATAGCTAATTCAAAAGGTTTATAAGTACTATAATAGCATGTAATACTAAAATAATACTTATTCTAATTAGAATTGGATTTGGTTGGTAATTTGTTTTCACAGAAATTGTATTCCTATATATATATATATATATATAATTAAATGGACATTTGTATCATGGATCTCATTGATTTGATATCAAATCTGCTAAAGGGCAACAGCCAGCTCTCCAGCAGTGATCTTATCAGCACTTTGTTTAGATCTTTAAAAGTCTGTGTTTTCTGCGTGTATTGGAAGAATGTGCTCTATCACAAATGGATTTCTTCAAAAATAGGTTTGGTTCTGCTGAGAAAATGGATTGCAGGCGGAGTGTGTCGCTGCCGCGTGCGACTGGATAGAAAGACAGTCGTCGTTACTGGTGCCAACACTGGGATTGGAAAAGAGACGGCACATGACTTGGCCATGAGAGGTAAACGCTGCATTCTTAAAAAATAAAGGTTCTCAAGGTTTTCACACCCTTTTTGGTTCACCAAAGACCATTTTAGCGAACACTTCTTAAAATAACCCTTTTTGTGAATACCATTTTAATAACCTTTTTCCACTATAAAGAACCCTTTGAGCAATGGAAAGGTTCTTCATGGATCCATCAATGCCAATCAAGAACCTTTATCTTTAAGAGTAAAGAAAGTGTAGATTTTGGAGGATTTTAGCTCAGACTGAATATGTTCTGGTGTTTTTTTCAGGGGCTCGGGTTGTGATGGCTTGTCGAGATCTTTCAAGAGCAGAAAAGGCTGCAGCAGAGATTCGCAGATCTACAGGAAATGGCAACATAGTAGTTCGGCACTTAAACCTGGCATCTCTGTTCTCCGTACGGCAGTTTGTGCAGGAATACACTGCCACTGAGGATCGACTGGATATACTTGTTAACAATGCTGGTGAAACATTTGACTTCATTACTAGTTATTCAGCAAATCACACTGTGCTTTTCGCTGCATTGTTAAATACGATACATTTTTTAGGAGTGATGATGTGCCCTAAAAGCCTCACTGAGGATGGCTATGAAACCCAGTTTGCTGTCAATCATTTGGGCCATTTCCTCCTGACTGTTCTGCTCCTGGACATGCTGAAGAAGTCTAGTCCAAGTCGAGTTATCAATGTATCCAGCATTGCTCACAAAGGAGGTAAAACCGCCTATAACATCATGCTTTTTAAATATATTCTAAAAGAAGGTTCCAAAGAAAGATTTTCACAGCGATGCAATAGAATCAGATGAACCATTTTTGGTTCCATAAAGAATCTTTCAGTTCTTAAAAATCTAAAGAAACTTTTGTGCAATGGAAAGAGTGCTATTAAATTATTAATGTTTTTAAGGATGAACTTTAAGTGAATGTAAGATGTGAGCAAATGTTGTAAACACTCATTTGCCCCTTTTTTCACAATTAAATATCTACACTTGTTCTTGCATTGACCAATAACTGATATGGTAATAATACTGTATATACATCTCTTCTGTGTCATTTCTAAACATTATCACAGAGATTCATGAGACCATACAACATATTTCAGTCCGATGACCTTTCTCATAGGTAAGATCCACTTTGATGACCTTAATTTCAGCAAGGCACCGTACGATTCCCTGGTCAGCTACAGGCAAAGCAAACTTGCCAACCTGCTGTTTACTCGCGAGTTAGCACGGAGGATTAAAGGTTTGTGTGCCCATCCCCAATACATCAGGCACATTTAAACATAAAAAAAATGCTGCAAAAAAGCTGTTATAAAAATTCATATTGTATGTTCCCTTCATTATCCTTGTTCAATCCTGCTCTGTTTTTTATTAGGGTCTGGTGTGACTGTGTACTCCCTTCACCCTGGAGTAATCCGCACTGAACTGGGACGTTACGTGCAGACCCGCTACCCTCTGCTCAGTGTCCTGTTGTCTTTCCCTGCTCTTTTACTGATGAAAACCCCCAAACAAGGTGCTCAGACGTCCATCTACTGTGCGGTTGCTGAGGGGTTGGAGTCTCACAGTGGCTGCTATTTCAGGTGAGCTGTTAAAGAGGGCCTATTATGCCTTGATTTTGTTTTTGGGCTCTACTAGAATATGTTTTCATGCTTGAATGTTCAAAAACACCTTATTTTCCCCATTCTCATATATTGTTGCAGCTCCTCTCTTCCCAGTCTGTCAGTAACGCTCTGTTTAGTTCCTGTCTCTATGAAGCCCCTCCTTCTGAAAAGCAAAATGTTCACTGATTGGTCATCTGGATTAGTGTGTTGTGATTGGTCAACCGCTTCGAGCATGTTTGGGGGAATGTAACGCGCATTAACATAACTAACTCAACCAAGAATTAGCGGTAAATATTTCAGTGAGGAACATTGTGACAAGTTCATTCCTGAAAGAAACCTTAAGACTACAATGGAGGCGTTTCACGGAGTTCAAAAACAGTGCGCACTGATATAGACAATAAAGGCACGTTCACACCAAGGACGAGAACTATAAAGATAACAATAAAGACAAGACAGTTCTAAAAATCGTTTTCAATGTTTAAGAATAGCAGAGGTTACAACGCAACTATAACGATAACAGAAAAAAGAATTACCTTCAGAACGATTTTATACAGCTGGTGAATGATAAAAACAGTGAGCTCAAGCATTTAAAGTGGCAGACAAGCACACGCTTAGAATAAACAGAACAATATCGTCTGTTGGTCTGCTAATAAAGTTATCTTTATATTTATCATTCTTGGTGTGAACGGGCCTTTACTCCCTTTAGAGTGACTTTGTGCTTTGTAACTTTGCAGACCTTTTTCATGCTCAAACAGCAACATCACACTTGAAAGTTGAAAGTTTAAGAATGCATATAGGACCCCTATAATATTATTATTCTGCATGACCTAGGCCTTTACATCATTCATGTAACGGGTTTGTATTGTAATTTCTCTAAAGATGTTACCTTTTCTGTTTCTAACATTTCTGCTTGACACTGGATGATTATGATCTTTTTACAGTGATTGTAAGCTGAAGGAACCAGCTCCTGAAGGTAAAGATGATCTTGCTGCTCTGCGATTATGGGAAATAAGTGCAAAGCTTGTGGGCTACCAAGAAGAGAACTGACAACACTCCACCAAGATCTATATAATACCATACAGGAATGCTTTGTATGCAGCTAGCAACACTCAGATCGTATTTTCTATCTTTGAAGTTTTTTTTTTTTATTAAATGAAAGCTGTATTTAAATCGAATTGATTATGAGTGGTTTAATCAACTGAATCAGTACTGTAACTGTTGTAATTCCCATGTCTTGCACATGGCAGTATAAATGTAAGATATTGATATTTGTCTCACCATTTGTTATTTTAAAGCTGTTTTGAAGTATCTCATTTGATGATTAATAAAGTTTTATAAAATCATCTTTATTGTAACCTAAATAAAATCAAATAACATACATCAATTTTAGCATTAGACATAAAATAAAACAGTGGTGCTGATGTTCGAGTCATGTCCAAATCGTTTACAATGATTTCAAATCTGTAAGCTGAATTTGTTCATGAATCCGCCTGAATTGGACCGAACACTGCACTGAACAAGCATTTTTTTTTTTTTGATGACAATACAATTTTGAATGAAATCATATTATTGTAACAATGATGTTTGGGGAAAAAACAATAGCCATAAATTAATTTTCAGTTAGCGGAAACGCATTAGGCTATGTAGCACAAGTATGAAATGAAATTACTTTAACATAATACTTTTAAATTTACAATACATTTTTAGTTACTTTTTCAAATTAATAACACAGGTTTTCCCATTTACTGAATAACACCTCTCCTGTCCCCATGTTGTGTTCGCTGTGTACACACAAAGTCCTTTTAGGATGGTTACTTTGTGGTAGCTATGTCCAATTCCAAATCATTCTTCAAAATGAATGAAGAGTCGAATATTTTCAATCAAATCTTTAACGAAACTGACTAAATTGATCCGAGCACTGACACTGAACCAACCATGGAACCAACATAATATTGCTGGTAAAGATAAAAGTTTAAAGAGATAATAACTATGTAATAATGTTATAAATCAATAAATAATACTTTAGAAGCTGGTAAAAAAAAAAAAAAAAAAAAAAAAAAAAAAAAACAGTGATAAAGAGTTGTCTGGTTGAGATGTCCGTTTCGTGACCAAATCGTTCTTCTGAGTCGAATCTTTAAAATGAATTATTTCACGAAACCGACACTGACTCACTGAACCAACATTTTAAAGCTCATAATATATATATATATATATATATATATATATATATATATATATATATATATATATATATATATATATATATATATATATATGTATTTATTTATTTTGGTGATTAATGAGATCATAACTTTACGTACTCATGCTATAAAACACATAAACGACACAGAAGTTAGTAAAGAAAAATATACGGAGAGTTCAGTGAAATTACGCTCAGGAACGAGTCCTTCCTTACCAAAATGGCGTTTTATTTACTTCGTTTTACGTAGCGGCCTTGAATTATGGGATATTGTTCATGCTGTACGAACTGTTACCAGATCAGTTGAACTGGTAAATTAAACACGCAAGACTGGGACATCGATTGAACTACAACAGATCCCAAATCAGAGGCGGACCAGAGGGCGGACCGAATACTCGTGTACACCGGAAGTAGTAGGAAGCCCAGTGAGTTGTCTGTCTCCCATTGTCAACAGTATTTTGTATGCGGGAGTTTACTGATGAAAAGAGCCGTTTATCATTAGTTAAACAACTTTGAAACGATTCGATAATTTAAACAATTTTCACTGACAATTAGAACACATATAAAACGAAAAAATGAACGTGACTCTGGCTGTCAAGCAGTACATTTCCAAAATGATAGAGAGCAGCGGACCCGGGATGAAGGTGCTGCTGATGGACAAGGAGACGGTAAGTGAATTTTAACAGCTTTAACAGTTCAAGCATAAAAGCGCATGTGCTAAGCCACTGATAATTTAGTACTGTCTGCAGTGTGCAGCGTAAATGGGTTTTGCTGTCGTTTTACATGTCATGTGTCTTAAAGGGATAGTTCATCCTAAAATGAAAGTTTAATCACTTTCAAGTTGTTCCAAAACAGAATGTTGGTAACCAGACAGAAACTCATAGAGGTTAGGAACAAAATGAGGGTGAGTAAATTTTGTAATGAACTTTCATTTTTGGGTGAACAATCCCTTTAACCAAATGTAACTACTAATATATTTTTAAAGTTGAGGGTTGTGTTGCAAAAGTAGTCCGCAGTCTACATAGACAGTGACTAACAGTGGTCAAAACATTGCTTGCTTTTTCTCTTTACTTTACAGACCAGTATTGTGAGTGTGGTGTACACTCAGTCTGAGATCCTGCAGAAGGAGGTCTACCTTTTTGAGCGCATCGACTCACAAAACCGAGACAACATGAAGCACCTCAAAGCGATCTGCTTTCTCCGGCCAACCAAGGTTTTTATCATGGTCTCTTATAGAATATATAGATTTAGACGTTATTTCATACTTGAATGTCTCTGCTTTCAGGAGAATGTAGAGCACCTGATTCAAGAGCTTCGTCGGCCCAAGTATAGTGTCTATTTCATCTGTGAGTACCAGAAATATATCAGAGTGTTGCATCAATTTACCTCTTTATGAATATAAGTTTGCAGAATATGTGCTTATAAGGGTGGTCACTGACTTTAGGACTTATTCTGTGCAGATTTCAGTAACGTGATCAGTAAGAGTGAGATAAAGGTTTTGGCTGAGGCAGATGAACAGGAAGTAGTTGCAGAAGTGCAGGTCGGCCGCCTTCTTTTTAATTAAGTATTCTTCATAAATATGATTTCCATATAGTGTCTACAAAATGTTGTCAAACTTTCTAAAAAATGTTGTTTCTCTAGGAGTTCTATGGAGATTTCATTGCTGTGAACCCACATCTTTTCTCCCTCAACCTTCAAGGTGTATCCAGGGTAAGATTTCTTTTTAAAAAACTTTTAAAAAAAATAGGGAACTAGTTTCAGCTAACAAAAAAAAAATGTAATTGGCCCCTTTAAATATATATTTTTGTTATTTATTAGGGATTAATGTATGCTATGATACTAAACCAAAAACTGGTGCAGAACATGTAAAGTAGTTTACAAGATCTAACAAATTACTAGTGCTGCTTGAAGTCTTGAATTTAAGTTAATCGTTATCTCACAACTATCGTCGGCTCTCTTGTGAGCACAAATCCTTCTGTTTGATGCTCTCTATGAATATTTCTGTTTGTGTTTATAGGGTCGCAGTTGGGAGCCGAGTGTCCTGCCTCGAGTCACTCAGGGTTTGACATCAGTGCTGCTGGCCCTGAAGAAATGCCCCATGATCCGCTACCAGCTCTCTTCTGACATGTCCAAAAGGCTGGCAGAGAGTGTCAAAGTAAGACCTTTTTAAAAATTTTTTAAATTTTTTGACATTTTGTAATTGTATCATAGATCTGTAGTATGCATTATCTTTGACCTTTTGGTGAACAGGTCATTTTTTTAAATAATTTGATTGACTACAGATTTGATTGACTCATAATAACTAATAATGTGACTTGTACAATGACTAATAATCTGCTTGTGTTTCCCACAGCAAATCATTACAAAGGAGTATGAACTGTTTGACTTCAGAAAAACAGAAGTACCTCCTCTTCTCCTTATTTTAGACAGAAGTGATGATGCCATTACTCCGCTTCTCAACCAGGCAAGAAACAATGTCTCTTAATAATGTTGCATGCAAATCTCATATTACAGAACAAGATCCATATGCAAAATCCCAGTCCTGACCACCAGAGGGAGATATAGCCCATGGTTTTATTCTGGATTACAATAGAAAACTGCTAAAACAGTGTCAGACATTAATTTGGATGCTTCTTTTTATTCTTTTTCTTTATTATGAGATTTACAGGAGCCAGTGCGTCCTGCTTGCATTTACTGAAAAAAATGTTACTGCAGCAAAATAAATATAACATAATGATTTTAGTGTGCTATTGTAGCAAATTTTACATGTGCATGCATTTGCTTCCTCTAGTGGACATATCAGGCCATGGTTCATGAGCTACTGGGCCTCAATAACAACCGCATAGACCTGTCGAGAGTGCCTGGAATCAGTAAGGACCTACGGGAGGTGGTCTTGTCTGCAGAAAATGATGAATTTTATGCAAATGTGAGTAACATTGTTGAAAATATTGTCTTTTTGTTTGAAGTACATAAAGAGATTCCATTAAAGGATGTAATACACCATACAATTATTTACACTGTAACACTTTTACTTTTTTTGTTGTTGAAAAATTTTAAATTATGACATACAATGATTGACATATTAAACATTTCTAGGTTACTAGTTAAATTAGCAAATTTGTGACTCGTCCATGTCGAACTCCTTATAAACTTATTAAAGCAAAAGAAGAGCAAATACTAAGAAATGGTTTCTTTTTTTGTGATCTGAGACTTTTGGACCCCACACTAAATGTTGTTTTCTCTCTCTTTCTCTTAATAAGAACTTGTACCTGAATTTTGGTGAGATTGGAACAAACATCAAGAACCTAATGGAGGATTTTCAGAAGAAAAAGCCCAAGGACCAACAGAAATTAGAGTCAATATCTGACATGAAGGTGAGCAGACCAATAATACTGTTCACTGTAGCACATCATCTTATATGAAGAGTGAACCATGAAGACCCCTCATCCAGAACTTTTATTATTGTGTTACAGTATTGTGATCACTTTCTGGCCCCCTCTGTAGGCATTTGTGGACAACTACCCCCAGTTTAAGAAAATGTCGGGGACTGTCTCAAAGCACGTGACCGTGGTTGGGGAGCTGTCCCGGCTGGTCAGTGAAAGACAGCTGATGGAGGTGTCTGAGGTGGAGCAGGAGTTGGCCTGCCAGAGTGACCACTCCAATGCACAACAGGTCAGAGTTTGACACGCAGTCTAATCACAAACAGCTGATCATTCTTTTGCAATATCACTATTTGAAATTTTTTTTGATCAAATAAATGCAGTTTTGGTAAGCATAAGTATGGAAGCTTGTTTCCGCCATAGAATGAAAAATATAAAAGGTAATTGCGACTTTTTGTCTCACAATTCTGACTTTTTTTCTCACAATTGCAAGTTTACTTCTCGCAATTCTGACTTTATTTCTCAGAATTGCGAGATGGAAAGTCAGAATTGCAAGATATAAATTCAGAATTGCGTGATATAAAGTCGCAATTGCAAGATATAAAGTCAGAATTGCGTGATATAAAGTCGCAATTGTGTGATATAAAGTCAGAATTGCGTGATATAAAGTCGCAATTGCGTGATATAAAGTCAGAATTGCGAGATATAAAGTAAGATTTGCTAGATATAAATTCGCAATTGCGTGTTATAAAGTCAGAAATGCATGATATAAAGTCAGAATTGTGAGTTATAAAGTCAGAATTGTGAGATTTAAACTATTCTGAGGGGGAAAAGAGTTAGTCTTTTTTCCCCCTTAGAATTGGCCTGATAAGTCGCAATTGCGAGTTTAAATCTCACAATTCTGAGAAAAGATGTCAGAATTTCGCCATGTAAACTCGCAATTATGTGTTATAAAGTCAGAATTGCAAGATGTAAACTCGCAATTGTGAGAAAAAAGTCAGAATTGTGAGATAAAAAAACGCACTTCTGTCTTTTTTTTCCAGAATTGCGACTTTATATCACCCAATTCTGACTTTATATCTCGCAATTCTGACTTTATATCTCACATCTCTGACTTTATAACTGGCAATTGCGACTTTATATCACGCAATTCTGACTTTTTTTTCTCACAATTGCAAGTTTATATCTCACAATTCTGACTTTATTTCTCACAATTGCGAGATTTAAACTTGCAATTGTGAGAAAAAAAAGCCTAATTGTGAGATAAAAGTCACAATTATTTTTTTTATTTTTTTTATTAAGTGGCAGAAACAAGCTTACACGCATATGAGCACTTCTTTCAAATACATACAATAATCCTACCGACCCCAAACTTTTGAACCAAGTAAATGTCAATCCACAACGGTTTTTGTGATCGCCTACAGTATGTTAAGTGCTGTAAATCTTGCAGCGTTGCTAAAGATGACCTTGTTCCTCTTGCTGCAGAGTCTGAGGCGGCTCCTGCAGAACCCTCGGCTTTCTGAAATCGACGCTGTGCGTCTGGTGATGCTGTACGCGCTTCGCTACGAGAAACACAGCAGCAGTATTCTGCCCAGCCTTATGGAAGATCTCAATCGCAAAGGGGTGTCAGAGAGACACCGCAAGGTGAGGGACTGTGTCCTGTAGCACAGTGTATTGGTATTGATGGATGATCCAGATTAAAGGGATAGTTCACTTTGATTAATTTTTGGTATGTTTTAGCTTACCTCAAGGGCATCCAAGTAGGTGTCTTTGTTTCCACAGTATTTTTAATTTTGATATTTTTAGGTCAAACCATAGCCTGGTTAAAACCAGACCATTCTCAGTTGTAACTGAGATATGGTCTGGCAAAGCGTCATAGCCAAATCATTTTTGAAGGGTTGTCACCAATGGACGTCGCGGGTAGACCTAAAACCAATCAGAGCGATGAAGGAGATGATTTATGCAGAGCGGCAGCCGGCGGAGAAACATCTCCAAATGTTGTTCTTTGCTCAGTTTTTAACAAAAAGGAAACGTTCAAATCACTTAAAAACAGACGCGATAGCTGATTCGAGGGAGTGATGTTCGACGGCAGCGTCCATCTTTGTAATGTAGGCTACAAAATCTGCTTCAAAATCCCAGCGCTGTCGTCGTCGTGTAAAGCCCGCCCCAACGTTTCTGATTGGTGCCGCGATTTCTGCGGACTGGAAATGGGCTTGAATGAGCTCTTTCCCAGACTAACTTTCAGAGCAAATCTAAATTTGCCGGAAGTTGTCTGGGTTTTCCCAGGCTAGTCAAACCATTCATGTATATCAGTCATATAATGGAGGTCTATGGTCACCACCTCAAAGAGCATGCAGAGAGAAGTCCAAATTAAACATGATTTAATGACTCGTAATGTAAGTACACATTGATGGCCTAAGACACGAAACGAGCAGTTTGTGTGAGAAAACGAACAGTATTTATATAATTTTTACTTCTTGTAAAACCACAGCCACGTCCAAGTGATCTGAGGGTACAGGCGCTTTGTGGCTGTGGTTACAAGAGGTAAAAACGATATAAATACTGTTCAGTTTCCTGTCGTAGGCCATCAATGTGTACTTACATTTACAAGTCGTTAAATCATGTTTAATTTGGACTTCTCTGTGCATGCTCTTTGAGGTGGTGACCATAGACCATTATATGACTGATATACATGAATGGTTTGACCTAAAAATATCTAAATTGAAACTACTGCGGAAACAAAGACACCTACAGCTTGGATGCCCTTGAGGTAAGCTAAAACATACCAAAAATTAATTTCAAAGTGAACTATCCCTTTAATTTGATAAAATCCTACTATTATTAGTACTGTTATTAAAAAGGAAAGCATCTTTCCTGTACTGCAGATGGTGCAGGCCATGGTGGAATATGGTGGAAAACGAGTCAGAGGAAGTGACCTCATTGCTCCTACAGATGCTGTGGCCATTACCAAGCAGTTTTTCAAAGGACTTAAGGTAGATCATGTTTATGGCCCTCTGGCTGCATTATTCTTTACATTTTCAAAGCACAAAGTCACTTCAATGAGTGTTAGTCTCTGTCAGTGCACACTGTTTCTGAACTCTCTGAAACACCTCCATTGGCATTTAAGAATGATCCATAAAATGCTGCAATAAAGCTGATCTAGTTATGCAATCACAGCCTCTGTTGATGCAAAGTCATGTGAGGTTTTTGTTGCACATTATTCAGCAAATATGTTTTGTATCATAATTTATGTACATTTTCTTAACGGATAAAAAATGTCTAAATTGAGTGAATTATTAATTTTTAAATGAATGTGTATTTTGGTTTCCATCCAGTGAATTATTTATTTTTTTTTTTTAAATGAAAAATCCAGAAAATGCGCCTAAAAATAGGTGTATGGAAGCATATTCAATGTAAGATATGTGAAAAATAATGGTTAAGACATGAAATCCTATTCCAGTGGACCCCAAAAGACTGCTGTTAAAAACTTGTTTATGTGTTTGAATAGGGAGTTGAAAATGTGTACACACAGCATCAGCCGCTTCTACATGACACGCTGGATCAGCTGATCAAGGGACGTTTGAAGGACAGCCAGTTCCCCTACCTCGGGCCAAGTTCTCTGAGAGACAGGTGATACAGATACATAAATAGACTGTCATTCACACTCATGCATTAATAATATACAGGCACACTTATAGACATTTACTGTGAGGGTTTTGTTGTTGCTTTGAAGAGTGTTATTTCTGTGTCTCACTACGAAATGCGTGGATTTAAAACATGGACTAGAGCTGCATGATTATTGATAAATTGAGAATCACGATTTATTTGGTTTAAAATAGAGATCAAGATTCTTCCACGATTCTGAATAAACAAATAACTTGTAATTTACTAGAGGTTCTGACAAATGTTAATTGCTGCAGTCTATTAGATTTAAATGTTTTTTAGAAAAATTCAATGACTCACTCATACAGACTTCACTTGTTTTAGTACTGAATGAAACAGCTTTTTTTGAACAATCTCTTGATTTAATGATTTAAAGAAATTTTTAAAGTACATTTTTACCAGTCACTTGATAACGATGTAATCGATTCAATCTTCATTCCCTCTATTTTGATCTCTTTCTTAGACATCGGCGTTTATATCTGAACTATAAATGTTTATCCCTGTACTTCAGTGATAATTTGAATTAGCGTAACACAGAAATAAAGATACTGTGGTTGAAAAGAGTGTTTGTGAAGCTGTTTCATACTTCTATATGACAATTGCTCTTTCTGGATCAATGGCGGCTCCAACGCAGCTTTGAATGTCCACTGTGATCATACTTGCATGTCATCGGTTTACTAGACATAGTGCATGGTTGTCATTAAGGAAAAAGATTATGTGGGTGTTTGAATCAAGATGTGCAGCTCCAACATGGACTGCAGTTAAATAAACTTGCTCCTTCACACTATGTCTCCACTTTTTAGACCTCAAGACATTATAGTCTTCATAATTGGCGGGGCCACTTACGAGGAGGCGCTTACTGTTTACAACCTGAACCGCACAATGCCAGGGGTACGCATCATACTCGGGGGCACGGCCATTCACAACACTAAGAGGTCAGTGTTTTTAAATGCTCTCAACGCTGATGTCTCTTTTCACCATCTCATCTCTATCCAATAGCCCTCTGGCACACAAGCTCTAATGCCTTATTCAAATAGGATCCAGGTTATAGAGTGACATCAGCCCTAGAATGGCATTGTGTAAAGAACATACAATTGTTGTTCCGTATGACTTCAATGAATCATTCAGGTTCTCATTCTGACTATATAGACTATATGGATTTTTGTTTCTTGGTGGTCTAAGTTATTAAGTTTCTTATTTAAGATATTAATTATGTATGTACTATATGCAATATCCCTCAAAAGTTTAGGGGGTTTATGTTTTTAAATGACGTCTCTTCTGCTCACCAAGGCTGCTTTATTTGATTAAAAATAAAGACAAACAGTAATATTGTGAAATATTATATGACAATTTAAAATTACTATTTTCTATTTTAATATATTTTAAAATGTAATTTGAAAGCTGAATTTTCAACATCATTACTGTTGCTGATCACACATCAGTTTTCAGTGTCACATAATCCTTCAGAAATCATTCTAATATGCTGATTTTATGCTCAAAAAACATAAATTATTATTTTCAATGTTGAAAACAGTCGTGTACCATTTTCCCCCCAAAATTCTATGATAAATAGAAAGTTCAAAAGAACAGCATTTATTTAAAATATAATCTTTTCTAACATTATAAATGTCTTTACTGTAACTTTTGATCAATTTAACTCATCCTTGATGAATAAAAGTATTTCCTAATTTCTTTCCCCCAAAAATAAAAAATAAATTCTTAATGACCCCAAACTTTTGAATGGTAGGGATTAATGTTACAAAAGCTTTCCATTTCAGACCAATTCTGTTCTTTTGAACTTTCTATTCATCAAAGAATCCTGAAATAAAAATGTAAACAACTGTTTTCAACATAATAATCATAAATGTTTCTTGAGCATGCTATCATATTATAATGATTTCTGTAGGATCATGTGACACTGAAGACTGGAGTAATTATGCTGTAAATTCAGCTTTGATCACAGGAATAAATTACACGTCACTATATATTCACATAGAAAATAGCTGTTTTAAATTGTAATAATATTTCACAATATTACTGTTTTTTTGTGTGTGTTTTTTTTTATCAAATAATTGCAGCCTTGGTGAGCAGAAGAGACTTCTTTTAAAAACATAAAAAAATCTTACCGATCTAAAACTTTTGACCGGTAGTGTATATATATAAAAATGTGATCAAAGCTGAATTTTCAGCATCATATATACGGTACGGTATATAGACTTTTATTCAGCAAGGATGCATTAAATTGATCATTAGTGACAGTAAAGACATTTATAATGTTACATAAGATTACTATTTCAAATAAATGCTGTTTGAACTTTCTATTCATCAAATAATCCTGAAAACTGTTTTCAACATTGATTAGAATCAGAAATGTTTCTTGAGCAGCAAATCATCATATTAGAATGATTTATGAAGGATCATGTAACCCTGAAGACTGGAGTAATGATGCTGAAAATTTAGCTTTGATTACAGGAATAAATCAAATTATTATAATAATTTACAATATTATTGTTTTTACTTATTTTTTCTGTATTTACATATGTTGTCTGCCATGTAAACTCTAAATGAATCTATATATTTTTAACCAAATAAATTTAGTTTAGCTAAACTTCATAAAGCTTCAATTCATTTACACCCTAAAATAACCAGATCTGTGGCTTTTGTACACTATAGCCCTTACAGTAGATACTAGTTTACCTACTTGACTCTATAAACTTCCGGAAACAAAATATGTCATTTAAATATATTTGCATGATCATTTTGCTTTCTGTTTGTTTGTAATCTCTCATTGTTTGACGAATTTTGTTACCCACTGAGGATTGTTTAAACCCAACTCAACAAGTCATATCCAGTGCTGACTGGATATGTTCCCCTAAATATGTTCCCCTTCTCTGTTTCAGCTTCCTGGAGGAAGTGACGCTCGCAGTGGGTTCGGGTGGAGACCGGACACAAGGACGAGGCCGTCAGATGAGCCGACGTTGAGCTTTTATCATCAATCATATTAATGTGTGCTGTCTTTTCTCTCTCCTTACATTCCTTTCAAATATTTCAGTTTTTGGGAGGAAAATCCGTCACACTGCACAATAAGGCTCAATTCTTTAACATTAATGAACAACAATTTGCACAGCTTAAATAAGAGAATCATAAATATACTATTGTTCATTTTTAATTCATGAGTGCTCATAAGAACAAGTAACAACTTGAATTGATAAAAATGTGTTAGTATATGTGCAGAAATATTTAGGAAACATTCGCCTAGATAAATAAATACTGTAAAATTCTTGTTCATTGTTAGTTCATGAGACTATGTGCTAACTAGTGAATCAAGTGTAGTGTTATCATCTATATACTATAGTGTTGATAATGATATGTGAAACACTGTAAATGTGCATAACTTTTATGATCACGTGTAAATAATGCCCCAAAAGTGATCACAATGACAGCATTTTTATTTATTGGATTGGTGATGCTATTGATCTTTTTTGGAAAGAAGACTACTGTATGTTCAGTAAAAAAGTATAAAATGATATATCTTTTAAATATACTATAAACAGGCTGCTCTGTGTATATAACTTGGGTGACAATAATATGAAGTTTTACATCAAAAGTGCCCGACAAAGCTGGAAAAATCATTCCAACAGTTGGGTTTTAAAAAAAAATTGTTCCACCATATTTGTTATAACTTGTATTATTATTTTTAACATCACTATCCATGCAGCTAAATTAAATGGCATGTTGCAAATATCCAGACATTAATAAATGTTTTTAAAATTATAAAAGATCATGGATGTTTATTTGCAGCGTGTCATCTGCTCATGAAAAAGAGCTCATTAGTTCAGCCTGTTATTATAATATTAACGTCAAAGGCTTTTAACAATTAAAATGACAGTTCTTGGTGGACTGAGTTTAAATCGGCTAACTATAAAGCCTTGTATAAACATCAATGTATTTGCATCTCAGTGTGTCTGTAAATGCGTGTCTTTTTTGAATAAGCTTTGCCTTTGTACATACTGTAGCTTGATAAACTGGACAACATGATAAATAAGTGACGATATTTTATGATGCTCTTCAATAAATGAAAAGTAAAAAATGAAAAATCTAATAATTTCAGATCAACCCTTTTTTTCTCATGTTTTTATTACCACTAAAGGCCGTATAACCAACATCCCAAATGATTTACTGATTAAATTGAATGAAGTAGATGGAGTTTAGCCCTGACCTTTTTGGTCATCACTTTAACCTCCAGAGCTTAAACCCCCATAGACAAGTTCAGGTTGCTCCACTATAACTCCCCTTCCTCCCTCACTAATCACATCCATTAATCCCCACTATCATCCAGACGACGGCAGACCTGAACCACTTAATGGCTTTAGAGCACAGTTTGCTGTGTGTGGATGGAAAAAAAAACCCCATTAACTGTTGCTTATGATGAGTCAGTAAAGGGCCTGGTAGATTTCCTATGTCACAACTGATGTGTTGTCCCAAAATACACATACATACAGTGGAACAAAAATGAGGTCCATGATGTGTCTGTTTGTTATTTCCAGACAGACTTGGATAAAAGAAATCTGTCCCAATGAACCCAAGGGAAACATTTCTTGCTTCGTTCTAGAATAATGTGGTCAATTTATGTGGAAGGAAAAGAAGCTTAGAGCAGTGTAATTATAGTGATGTAGTTTGTCCTTCTGAGTGTGTGTGTGTGTGCCTGTGTGGTTTTCTCAGAGCTTGTAGGGAAAATCTTCGGAAATCCCCCTATATACTTGAGTTACATAATAAACATTTTCTATTTTAAAGTTTAAGTTCATGATTTTGTTTTATTGTGGTTGTTGCGATCCAGAAGGATGACTGCAAATAAGGAGAGATGAATACCACTGCATTGCAAAATATCTGAGCTTTATTTTATTCTTTCTAAAAAATGAGCCTAGATCTAAAAATGCTGGGTTGTTTTAACCCAACTTTGGGTCAAATATGGACAAACCCAGCCATTGGGTTAAATTTTTTAATGACATTTTAACCCAAAATTTGGGTTCGTCCATATTTGATCCAAAGTTGGGTTAAAACAACCCAGCATTTTTTAGAGCCACAGGTATTGACCCAAAGACAAGAAACTGCCACACATAATTCTAACAATTGGATGTGCAATGCATGCTCTCATTTGTCTTTTTAAACTTTTGCCACATTTCTTTTTAGATTTACTGAAACAAAGCTATTACACAAGTGTATATTCCAGAATGTTAAGTTTTCTTAAGTTAAGTTCTGTATAGACTAAACAACGAACATTTACACTCTTAGGAGAAAAGGAATGCACCAGTAGGTTTTCACACTGAATGGGGTAAGTTGTCACAATGGAACCTCCTTTATGATAAACATTTCAGCAAAGCAGTTAATAATCAATTATGAAGAAAAGTGCTAGAATCATTAGAAATGTGACAAGTGCCAGACCTGCAATTTATGAAAAATATTGCCTGAATATGTTTTATTCTGTTCTGTTCCCCATGTTGTTTTAGTTGCAGGACAACATTCACAAATATTATTCTAAAATATGAATGAATCAAAATGTCAAAACTTTCCTGTGTGACGACTAGCCCTGGTCTCAGTTGATCAGTTCTGGACAGTGTTGGGTAGGCTAAGTCACTGTAAAAAAGTAAAATTAATTACTAGCTAATTACATTTTGACTGTGTAAATAGTTTACTGCACTAATTACTCTCTAAAAAAAAATATTGGACTGCTTATTAATTACTTTCTAAATTCCATATCAACCTTGACCAGTTGGACAATACAAAGACACACACGAAAGTAGGCCCTACATTGATTATTTCAAATAAATAATATACAATTATTCTTAAACTGACTAAAGGGAGAAGGTTAGGCGGCCTACATTAAAAAACATACATTTTAACATTAAATGTTGATGTTAAATCCAGAATAGTTCTATACAGGCTACATCAGAAGTGTAATCAAATTACAGAAAATAACCCCTTATTTTACTTTTTCAAGGGGAAAACACCCAGCACAGTGGTTCTGGACGTTTTACATTAAAACCATGACCATCTTGAATTCATTTGGTGACACACATAAACATACACCCTGCAATATTGATTATGATTTAAAATAACTGTGCCCGTTGTTGTGCAGTGATTTGCAGTGTGTTTATGAGGGAAGCGTGACATCATCATCCCGCCGACAGCCGTGCTCGTTGTTCAATAGATGGAGCAGTCGAGCTCTATAAACGGGGAAATACGTTTCGGTGAGAGCTGAGAAGCACATCTGCATCTCAGGGACTCACCCAAGCCAATGGAGAGCCTCTGCCCGCGGTTTGCAAATCGTCAATGTAGAGACTGGCAGTCCATCAGTCCTGAGAGAAATAGCTCGAGCACACACAGCACACGGAGGACTCAGAGAAACACCTCAGCTTCCTCCACAGAGCGGGACAGATATACGGCGGAAAACACATTTTGCGAACAGCATGAAGAAAAGCCATTTGGTCAAAAGGGTGAGCATTTCATTCAGTGAGTCTCTGATGTGTAAAGGCTATAATGCTCGTAATTTAATTGTTTAATTGAACAGGCTGAATGTAATACAGCTCAAGTAGGCTATTTATTTGTATTCTGCTTTTTTATTATGTGCAGGCTAAATTAATTTAACAATGACTCCTTTGTTATGAAGCGCCGAATGTGATACATCTCTTCGTTACGCTTATTCTTCATTATGCTATTGTCTCTCGTATTTTTTTTAAACATCTTTTATTCTATTTAACAGAAATTTTAATTGACCACACCCTTAATTGACCAACTGACATTAAAACATTTTAGGGATATATTTTTAAAATGCAGTAGCCTATGTCAGCGTGTAATAACGTTATAGCCTTGTTATTTTGTTAGGCTACTGTTGTTTTTGTAACACTTTTGTAACACTAGGCTGGATAATGTCAACATTTACTAATACCCATTTTACTAATTAAAGTGTTAACGTTTATTTATTTTTTATCACGGCACTAAGTAATCTAGGCTATCTTTTAAAAATGTTTTGTGGCTATATCCTTCTTATTCCAGTAATGACTTATCTTATTTTATTAGAAATTATGGGTACAATATGGACTCAATAGTTAGCCTACTTAGTCTATTCCGTATTTACTTATACTTGTATTTATTTATTATTAGATAGCTACATGTTAGTATGCATTCCAGTTGTACTAGTAACATTTTTCAGTAGGTACAAAATAGTTTTAATTTTCAAATTGTTCTATTGTTGTTCAAGTAAAAAATGTTGATAACTTTCATTTGTTAAATAATGAAATAATAAAAAATACTTACAGCATTTATTGATTTTAGGTGAAGTGTCATCAGTCTCATCATTTACTACAGTTCTTTTAAGCTCAAAAGTTGTGTTAACATTGGTTAATGCACTGTGAACTAACATGAATATATTTATTAACTAACATGAACAAAGGTTAATAAATGCTGTAAAAATATATATTGCCCATTGTAAGCTCATTTTAGTATGCATTAACTAATGCATTAAAGGAGTAGTTCACTTTTAAAAAAACTTTTGCTGATAATTTACTCACCCCCATGTTATCCAAGATGTCCATGTCTTTCTTTCTTCAGTCGAAAAGAAATTAAGGTTTTTGATGAAAACATTCCAGCATTTCTCTCCATATAATGGACTTCAATGGGAACCAAACGGTTCAAGGTCCAAAAGACAGTTTCAGTGCAAACTGCAAACTGTTCAAAGGGCTTTAAACGACACTAGACGATGAATAAGGGTCTTATCAAGTGAAACGATCGCTCATTTAAAAAAAAAAAAGGTTTAAGTTTTATAAGCTCAACGGTCGCCTTGCTCTGTTCTGTGATGCGCGTTCGTGACTCTCCTGTTTGAACCTGTTTATCAAAATGAACAAATCTTTTTTCATGTAATTTGGTTCATTCAACGAACGAAATTAACAAATTGACCCGTGAAAAGAAGGGACAAGACCCTTGTTCATCGTCTGGAATCGTTTAAAGCCCTTTAAACAGTTTGCACTGAAACCGTCTTTTGGACCTTGAACCATTTGGTGCCCAGTAAAGTGCATTATATGGAGAAAAATCCTGGAATGGTTTAATCAAAAACCTTAATTTCTTAAAGTTTTTTTTAAAAGTGAACTACTCCTTTAACTAACATGAACAAAGGTTAATAAATGCTGTACAAATATATTGCCCATTGTAGGCTCATTTTAGTAAATGCAACTAATGCATTAATTGAGACCTTATAGTAAAGTGTTACTAAAATGTTTAAATGCACTATAGTATCTAATAAAAAGCTAATAAAACTTGTAACTAGTAAACTGTTTGAATACTTCAAATAGACACATCAATACCAGTACAAAATATATAGTCACTATTGGATAACTAACTAATAATATACTAGTAACAGATATGGAATAAACGTAATGATGGCTTAGCATAGTGCGATGTGACGGAGATCTGTTTGAACTTGAATACTGTTATGTAAGACGGGCGACACACTAACCGGGTCATTGGTGACACACTCAGGGTCTTCAGGATGCAAACCAGCCCTCATCCCAACCAGACAAAGTAGGCTGGATCCGCAGGTTCAGCGGCAAAGGACTATTCAGGGAAATATGGCGAAACCGCTTTGTGATGCTTAAAGGAGATCATCTGTTCATCTTTGAAAAAGAGGTGAGTTATAAAGACAATTATTATACATTTTTATAATGATTTCATGCTCAATCAAAGGCAGGGCACGTCAACTTCTCAAAGGTTTATCATATCAACTCGTGTATGAAACCCATTCAGATTTTGACATAAACTACAGAGAATATGAATACGAGTCATGAATGTTTGCCAAAAACCTCCTGTCCTTGATATAAAGGACATACTCTTGCAACATCAAAGTAATCCTTTTGACAAGCTATAATTTTCCAAAGGGTATTATATAATCACTGAAAATTGAAACCCAGTTGTGTCCCCAAATGACAAGCAGCAGTGAACCTGTTTAGTGGCTACAATCAATATTTTTCTGTGTCATGGATTTTGTGTCAGTACCACTACCAAACATCTCTGAAGTTGCTTTCAAATATTCAGCTGAATTCAATTTCCGGT